GGGAAAGGGAATAACCCCCCAGGACTGGTGTTCACGCCCATCACTGGGGTGAAGCTGCTGTAAATCTCAAGTTGACCGTGATTAAAACGCTACATCAGAAGAGTCACAGGCACCCGGGGGCTCAGTGCACTGAGCATCAGACTCATGACTTGGGCTCAGGTTGTGATCTCAGGGTCCTGGGATCAGCCCTGCGTGGGGCTCCCTGCTCAGCGGGGGTCTGCTTAGGATGCTCCCCCTTTATCCCTCCTCCCCCTGAACGCATGTGCTCAAACTCTCTCTCCTCCTCTCTTTATCTCTCTCAAATAATAAATAAATGAATCTTTTAAAGAAGTAGGCCCTTAGCATTTACAAAAAAAAAAAAAAAAAAAAAGATGAAGGGAGAACAGAAGGACCAGAAAGACAGGAGAGAAACAGAAAACAAAAGAGTAAAATGCAGCAGGTGTGAATCCAACTCTACCAATGATGACATTAAACGTAGATCAATCGAAGGAGCCGATCAAAAGGCACATTGTCAAGTGGGCAAAAGCCAAGCCAACAAACAAAAGCCCCACAATCCAACAGGAGACGCTCTGTGGGTTCAAGGAGCAGATGGACTAACGGGGTGGAAAGCGATGAATTGTACAAAGCGCAGCCAGACGGGAGCTGGAGAGGCTTGTACTGATGTCAGACAAGATGGATTTTTACCCCAAAAAGTGTAATTAGAGATGAAGAGGGGTGTTTGCTAATGAGAAAAGGGAATCCATGAGGAAGATGCAACAGAGCTCGGAAATATGGGAAACAAAGCTGAGGAAAAGAAGGGAAAACGGAGAGTGGAGCGGCAGTAGCTGGAGACACGAGACCCCACTCTCCACGCGGCTGTGCGCAAACCAGCGAGACCTGGCGCCGTGCGCGGGCACTCCACAGGCAGAGCAGATCCGTGTCCTTTCCAAGGCGATGGAATGTTCTCCGGGCTAGAAGCCAACCGGCAGCTGAGGCCATCACAGTAGGCACAGTAGGCTCCGAGACCAGGACCTGGGCAGGGGAGGGGAGGAGGCTCTGGACTTGGCCACATGCAGGTGGGGAGGGAGGGCTCCATCCTAGGAGGTGGGACCCGGGACAGAGCCTGGCTTCCTGGGCCAGTGGGGCGGGGGTGGGGGGCACACAGATGGCGAAGACCCTCAGGTGCCACGCCGAGCAGTCTGCCTTTGTCCGTGATGTCTCTGCAAGGGCCCAGTGCAGCAAGTGGCCTGACTCACTGATGATGGGGGCTTTAGACCTGGCACTGGTGCTGACTGGGTGCCCAGGCCGAGTTCCGGCGGGGCAGCCGATGAGACAAGGCCTCTGCTGTGTCCTAGGGAAAGGGGGGATTGAAGAGATAAGCCTGTAAGTCAATGTGCAGGGTAGACTCTCAGACCCCAAGTTCATGGGTCTCTAAGAATACCTGACACAGGTGTGTAATCAAAGGGAATGCCTTTCTCAGCTCCAGGGAGCTCTGAGATGTTGCCACACTGGCGTCTTAAAAAATCTTAGCAGTTTACTTAAAAGTCCAGAACCCCTCCGTGGTTCTGATTCCTTAATAACGCCGATCTCCGTGCTCGGGCTAGGGGTCAGTTTCCCCAACACACCTGCCTGGGTGCCTCCTCCCTGTGGGTTAGAACCTTCACCTGCCGGGAAGCTGGCACATCTGCCCCTGGGGAGCAGCTGGAGGCTCAGTGTTCCTACAGGAGGGGGTTCAGTGGCCCCTGGGATGGCTCCCCATATGCATCCGGCAAGAATGGAGCACTCACACTTGACTCGCAGATGTCTGGAGTGAAACTGAGGGGCAAGAAGTGGCACCTGGTTGCCCAGCTGAGTAATAGGAGCAAAGTGGGGAGTGAGACAGTTGCCCAGGAGCCTCTACCCTGCAGCAGTGCCCCAGATGCTCCAGAGGATGGAACATCCCAGCTACCCCATCCCAGGGCAGATGGGGCTCACTCCCCGCAGGGCCTGAGCTCTGGGAGGCTCTCCTGACCCCAAGGGTCCCCCAGGGTGGGCGGGGAGCACTCCAACAGGGCCTGAGCTCCGGGGGCCCCCTGACCCGGTCCCCAACGGCCCACAGCACTGGAACTTGGACACAGAGCCCAGGCTGCGGGATCCCCGTCTGGAGAGGAGCCTGAGAGGGTGGACGTCCAGGGCGCTCCGGGAGCGAGGGTCCAGCGGCCAAAGGGCCTTGGAGAATGGTGAGCTCCTCTGGGTGTATTCGCCCCAATAATCCGCAGAAACAACAGTCACCTAAAAATAGTCTTGTTTTCTGTCCTAAGCTCCTTTTAACTTCGTTAGTCATCACCAGCCCTTAAAATAAAACCCGGGTAGCGTCTCTCGGGCAGCAGCTATAAACACGGCCCAGAGGAGGCTGAGGGCGCGAGGGGCGGAAGGGGCGCAGGGGCCGCGGCCCGGGACGGACAGGGGCCCGCGGTGGCCGCAGGAGCGCCCCAGGCCTACACGGGGGCGCGCGGGCCTTGGAGCCGCCGCTGCCTCCGGAACTCCCTGCGCCCTGGCACGCCGCCACCGTGGGCCCGGCAACGGCATTAAACACAGGGAAACAGAAGGGGATTCCGTCACCGGGCGGGGAAGAAGGAGGGCATTGAGACCAGACAGGAGGGAGCGCTTCGGGACGGGGAGGGGGATGGGGGCGGGGGCGGGGAGGAAGGGGAGGGGAGGAGGGAGGGGAGATGGGGAAGAAGAGGGGAGGAGGGAGGGAGAGGGGAGATGGGGAAGAAGAGGGGAGGAGGGAGGGGAGAGTAGGGTAGCAGAACCGGAGGAGGGAGGGGTGGAGTTAGGAGACGGGGGGAGGAGGGGCAGGAGGAGCCCCTGGGTCAGGCGGGCTGGGCTCCAGGTTCAGGAGGTTCGGCCCGGCGCGCGGGAGAACGAGTGGGGGGCGGACAGGAGGGCAAGGGGGTCCAGTCGTCGTACTACAACTTGCCGGGCCTTCCTGCCCCCGCCCCAGGTGCGCCACTAGCAGCTCCCGCCGCGCCACCTGGGGGAGGGCGGGGCGCGGGCGGGGCGGCCCTGGCGCCCCCTGGCGGCCTCCTACGCAGGACGCGCGCTCCTCCCCCCTGCCCCAGCCTCTGCGTCCCGAGGGCGGGGCCCGCCTGGGGCATCCTGATAGGGCTCCCCCCGGCCTCGGGCATCCTCGTGGGGTCCCCTCGTCCTCAGGCATCCTGATGGGGTTCCCCCGGTCTCAGGCATCCTCCTGGGGTCTTCCCAGGTTCAGCATCCTCGTGGGGTCCCCCCAGCTTTGGTATCCCCCGGGCCACCCTCTCCCTGGGCCCAGTTCGCCCGCGGGAGCGGATCTACAGGTGGGGACACCTGACCGCCACCCAGACACCCGCGGCGCGCGGCGGCCCCGCCCCTCCACGCCGCCCAGCCCAAGACGTGGGTGGAAAGAGGGATTTCAGTTCTGCCCCTGGCGCGCTGGCTACCCGCGTAGCCGGCGCTAGTGACGCGGGCACCGCTTCCGCTGGGCACCGTCCTATTATTAATGCGGTTCCGATTCGCCAGCGCGCCTCAGCCGACGGGTCAAATGTTACCCCCCGCCCCGGGCCCCGGGCCCCGGGCCCCGGGCCGTGGGGGCATCTGGGGCATCCACCCGCGCCCTGCAGGCCTCTCGGGCACCCGCCACAGACACAACTTCGCTTTTGGGGTTATTTGAAACCGCAATAGATTTATGACTTTTGCACCGCAGACTCTTTAGCCGCCCTGACGCTCCAGCCCCTCACCCGAGGCCACCACGAAAACGTGGTCGGGTCCTGGCCGCCGAGCTGCGCAGACGAGACGCAGGCGGGTTGGCGAGGAAAGTGTAAAGTGAACCGGCGGGCGCTGGGGAGGCTTTCCCGAAACCCCTCCCCCGCCGCCTGGAAACCCCAGAGTCCGCCCCCCACCCCCCACCCCCCACCCCGCCTTCCCGGCCGGCCGGCCGGCGGCTGCGCCCCTGCTCCTCCCCGACCCCCCCCGCGAGCGCGGGCCACAGGCAGGCTGGGCGCTCCGGCATTCACGGAGTAGGAACGACACCAGGTCCGCGTCCCGGGACCGCCGTGCAATCTGTTAGTGATTTGGCGGGATGGGAATTTCCTTCCTCGGGCCTGCCAGTGGAAGCGCCTTTCCAAATTTCCACAGCGGGGGAAGCCTGCGATTTTACATAATGACTTCAGCATGCGGGGCTCCCCGGCCGCCCCCGTCTCCGCCCCCCCGCCCCAGCCGAGTGCGACTCCCTGAGGACGCGGCGGACCCCGGCGTCCCGGCCGGGCCGCGCTCCCTCTGCGCTCGGGGCGCACCCCGCGCGCCCCTGCCCTCCGCGCTCGCCCCCGCCCCCCCGCGCGCCGCCCGCGCCCCTGCCGCCCCCCGTGCGCCCCCAGCCCGCCCCCGTGCGCCCCGCGGGCCGGGCGAGCAGCCGCCTGGAGCGGGGAGGGCCGGCGCTCGGAGACTTTTCCTCCGGGCCCTGCGCTGGCTCGGGCGGGGGCGTGATGTCACGGCAGGGAGGGGGCGCGGGAGCGGCCGGGCCGGCGGGGAGGCGGGGAGGTGTTTTCCAGCTTTAAAAAGGCAGGAGGCAGAGCGCGGCCCTGCGTCAGAGCGGGACCCGGAGGACTCCGACCTCGCCGGCACGGTCGCCGCGCCGGATCCCGCGGCCGGGCGAGGGCACCGGGGCGCGGGAGCGCACACTTCCGAGCCCCGCCGCGCCGCCACCAGGCCCGGGCCCCAGGGCGCAGCCGGGCCACCCGCGCGCACACGCCCCTCGATGACACTTCTGCGGGGCGCGCGGTGCTGAGCCGGGCCGGGCCGGGCCGGGCCGGGCGCGCGTCCGCCGGGGCAGGGGTCTGCGCTCCCGGGAGAGCCGAGCGCCCGCTCTCCCGCCTCTCCTGCCGCCGCTCCGCTCCCGCTCCCGCTCCGCTCCCGCCCGCCGCCGCCGCCGCCGCGTGGATGCCAAGTACCAGTTTTCCAGCCCTTTCCAAGTTTCCACTCGGGCCTCCGGCTGCAGTCTGCGGGAGCGGAGAAAGTTTGGGGCCCGCGCCGCCCTCCGGCGGCAGCATGAAGTCGGCGGAGGAAGGTAAGCCGGCGGGTCGCCCCTTCCCGGGCGAGGACGTGCCCCCGCGGGTGCGGGCCGGGAGGGGCGCGCGGGCCCGGCCGAGGTCCGCCGCCGGGAGGGGTCCGCCGCCGCGGGGGGCGCGCGCGGCACCACCCGGGCAGCGGGGTCCCCCTGGTGTTCCCCGGAGCGGCCTCGGTCCCCAGCGCTCCCTCCCGCCAATAGGTGTCTCCTCTCCCCAGCGCTGCGCGCAGCCCGGCGGCAGATCGCGGCACCGGCTCAGCTCAGGCGCGGGCGGCCGGGACCGGGCGAGGGCAGGGCTCGCTCGACGGTGTTGGTGGGCTCTTTGGGAACGGAGGTGGCCGGTTTCTTCCCAGTGGGGCAAGGCCACCAGACGGCTCAGGAGACCAGCCCAGGACGTGAGGTGGGGTCTGCGCCCTTCCCGCCCCCACCCCCACCCCCACCCCCACCCCCAGCCCGGCGCCGTCCTGCTGGTAGCTCGGCCCGCAGAACTCCAGGGCATCGGATGCACAGTGTGGACACAGCCCCTAATTCAATCCATTTTGCAATCTTGCAGCCGGGAGTTCAGCTGTAGAAAGTGGCTCAGGACAGTGTGAAAGGGACCCTCGAGTTTCAAGCTGCTTGTTTGTGGTCCCAAAGGCGCCTAAGTGTATGTCCCGAAAACACTCCTGCCTCCGAGTCTGGCCAAGGGCCCCGCACGCCTGCCCTCCGCCCTACAGGAGCCAGCACCTGGCCTTGCGGCCTGGAGCTCCTGACGGGGATGCTCCTGCAGGTGTCTGAGGACAGGCTCCAGCAGGGGCCACCAGCACCCTGAGTAGGGATCAGAACAGCAGATGTGCCCGGGAAATGGGGAGACACCTTCCCAAACACCTCATCAGCGCCCAAGTATTTTTTTGAATTATTTTAGCAAAGTTGGCAAAGATGCCAGTGTGTAGTGGGGACTCCTCTTTTTATAAGGGCAGACGTCCTTCCAGCACCGTCCCCGTAGTGGGCCCATGGCCGCAGAGCCGCATTCTCCGAGGACTGGCAGCTTTGGGGAGGTACGTGTTGGTGACCCAGATGAGCCCCAGGCAGTACCCTTGATAGAGGGTGCTCAGCCATTTCCTCTCTGTTTTGTATCAGTGAGGGAGGAGGTATGTTTCTCCATCTCATCCCAGTTCAGGAAATATTTCAACATAAGCATCAGGGAGTATTTATGGGACAAGTTCCTGCCGTTAGAGCAATTTTTTAAAAGTGCGCCAAGGGTTTGGTCTTAACTTCTTGGGCACCTTTTTCAAAGTCTGTGCACATGTATTTTTTTTTTAACACTGCCTTTAAAAAAAAATGCGGGTCTTTCAAAGCTCAAATGTCTACTTGAAGACTCAGTGGTCCATCCCGGAATAATCTTTTTTTACAAGTAGAAACCCCATCTCTGGGCTGGTGCTGATTCTTCCTGCTTCCTCCTGGTGAGAGTGCGTTGGAAAGGGCCTCTGGGAAGAGGGAGCAGGCCAGGTGCAGTGGTGCCTGGAGACTACGAGGTGACTGGGGGGTATTTCACAGAAGGCTGCCACTAGGCAGCCAGAGAGTGTGATGGAGCTCTTGGCGCAGCCAGGCTGAGGGGATGGGAGACACGGCCTCCTGCAGGTCAGCGCCTGCCTCACTGGGCTCCGGGGGACAAGATGTGTCCTCTCTCTGAGGCCTGACTAAGGCATCAGCTGCCCGCGTGAGAGTCTGCGAGATTCCCCGGCACTTCCCTGTGGTTTAATGAGCATCTGGGTTGAAGCTCATTAGCCACTGTTGTTTCTGAAGGCTCTGTGCCTGTTTTTCCGCGTGGAGAATACAGAGAAATGCAAGGCCTCAATCATAGCCACCCAGCCACCCACTCCAGGGTTGCTCCACACAGAAGGCCCGCGGGCTCTCCGGAGCAGAACAAAGCTCACTCTGTTCTCCCAACACTTAACTTCGTAGCCTTGTTCCCTAATCCAGATTAGAAGAGGCCCTGCTTTATCACACCCTGGGTTGGAGCCCTGTGCACCGTGAACACCCGCAGCCGCTAGGAGGAAGCGCCAAGCTAAACATTTCCATCAGGACAGGAGTGTCTGCTGAATTGGCAAATAGCTCTGAACCATTTACCAGTTGAAAGGCACGGGGTGGGGTGGGGGCGGGGGGGGGGTTAAGAGGAGCTTTTATAAAACTGGCCTGGCCATCTGGCTCCTGTGCTGAGGGATCTGAAAGTAGGTGGGGGACAGAGAGGGCCTGGGCCTTGTCCCCGTCCCGCCCCGGCCAGGTGGGAACTAAGTGGACACCTGCACGGGGAAGTGCACACCCGCTCTCTCGAACCCTCAAACGAAAAGCTGGCGACTAAACTACATGAGGGCCCATGTAAATTTTTGGTGGGGATGAGAGGTGGCAGCGGGGAAAACAACTGGAAAGAGAAAATGAAGTGTCGCTTCTCCATAGAAGCAGACTTCGTTTGCCCAAAGGTCAGCAAAAAAAGCTAAGTTAAAACACAACAACCCTCCAACATCCATGTCAAAGTGAGGACTATTATTAGAAACTAAATCAGGCCAAAGTGAGCCATAGTTTATCACTGGAGAAAACCAGCCATCTGAAAAGGGGCAGGGGAGACAAGCCTGGGGTGGAGGCACGTGACTTGCAGGTTATTTGCTTGAGGAGAGGGAAGCAGTGCCTGTGGGGCCAAAGGGCCTGCAGGGCAGAGAGGGCAGTGCTGGTGAGCTGCAGACCTGCAGACACCAGCTCAGGGCACTCCCTTCTCTCCATGGGAGTTCCCTCCACGGGTGGATCTCAGTGTCCCATGAAGTCCCCTGCAGGTCCACACACGGGGACAGTCAGAGCAGACAGCTGGGAGAGAGGACACACAGTGCCCACATGTCTCTTGCCTTCCGTGTGCGGTGGCCACACTGCCCGGCAGCCCAGCCTGGGATCCAGAGCCCCCTGCTCTCAGCTGCGCAGCTCTGGGTGGACTCCAGGGAGCAGGATGAGTGAGCAGAGGTACCACGGAGGAGAAACGGTGGCAGGTGGCTGCTGGCCTGTAGGGAAGACGGCAGAGCACGAAGGGGCTGCGGTCAGCTGGTCACTGTGGGCAGTCGGAGCAGGGGGGAGCACTCACAATAGGGGGGCTGCACTTTCCCAGCGACAGGGAGGGAAGTGGCCTTCCGGCGGGAGCAGAGCAGCCAGGGAAGCAGGCCCTGCTGTCCCTGCACTGCCGGTGGGCCTTGGGCTGGGCGCACCCGCCTTGGGCGGTCGTGCATGTTGTAGACTCCGGCAGGGACCCAGACGCCACATCCTTACCCCAGGGAGGCTCTCGGTTTGGGAGCTTTTTAAAGGACTTTTACGGAAACTCAGTGGGCCGACTCCCTGGGACCCTGTCGTGATCTTTGCGCCACAGGGTGTCCCGGGCCGCGCGGGGGCCAGCGAGGGGCCCCGCGGCGGGCTCCTGTCCCGCCCCCGCCCCCCCCCCCCCCCCCCGGGCAGCCCGGGCGCACGCGGACCCCGCCCCCTCCCCCGACCGCGACCGCGGGGGCGCACAGGGTCCCCCGCCCTCTCCGCCGGCCGCGGGGGCGCACGCGGACCCCCACCCTGCGCCCAGGCCGCCGGCGCGCAAGGGAGCCCCGGGCGCGGGCGGGGAGCGGGGACACGGGAGGGCCGCGTGCGTGCGCCCGGGCTGCCGGGAGAGTTTATTTAAAACTCGGAAGCCGCGGCCGGCGAGCGGCTTGTTTATGTCAACCCGGAAACCGTGGGGGGGAGGGGCGGGGGCGGGGGCGGGAGTCACGTTACCCCGGGACGCGGCCCGGCGCGGCGGAGCCCACGGCGGCGCAACCACAGGTGCCCGCGGCCGGGGCCACGTTCTGGGCCCCGACCCGACCCCGACCCGACCCGACCCGACCCCGACCTCCACCAGGCCCCGGCCCCCGGACTAGGCCAGGACCCGGCTGACCCGGCCGGACCTTGACCCCGCGCCCCGCGCCCCGCGCCCCGCCCCCGCCCCCGCCCCCGCCCCCTCCGCTGACCCCAGCCCCACGCCCATCCCAGCATGACGGGGCTGGAGCAGGACCAGGAGTTCGACTTCGACTTCCTTTTCGAGTTTAACCAGAGCGACGAGGGCACCGCCGCTGCCCAAGGTGGGTCCGCGGGGGGCCTGGGGCCGGGAGGGGCCGGCGAGGGGTGCAGGGCCCTCGGGATGCGGGGCTCCGGGGGTGCGGGCCACGGAGGTGCAAGGGGCAGGTAAAGGGGTCCCCAGGTCAGGGGTTTCAGGGGCGGGTTGGGTTGGGGTGCAGGGCTGGGGGTGTGCAGGGTGGGGGGTACAGGGCCCCGGGGACAGGACTGGGGGGGTGCAGGGACTCTGGGGTACAGGATTGGGGGGTGCAGGGACCCCAGGGAGGGTGGTACAGGGCCAAGAGCACGGTTCTGAGGTGCAGGGTGGGGTGTTGGGTTGGAGTGCAGGAACCCCCAGGGATACAGGGTCAAAGGATGCAGGGGCCTGGGGTGTAGGGCTCCAGGGGTGCAGGGTATGGGGTGCAGGGCTGGGGGCATGCAGGCTGGGGGGGTACAGGACTCGGGGGATGCAAGGGCCCTGGTGGTATAGGACTGGGGGGGTGCTGGGGCTGGGGTACAGGACTGGGGGGGTGCAGGGGCTCGGGGAGGGGTACAAGGCCAAGAGCACAGTTCTGAGGTGCAGGGTTGGGGGGTACAGGGGAGGGGTGTTGGATTGGGGTGCAGGAGCCCCAGGGGTGCAGAGTCAGGAGATGTAGAGGCCTGGGGTGTAGAGCTCCAGGGGTACAGGATAATGGGGTACAGGGCCCCAGAGGATACATGGCCAAGAGTATGGTTCAGAGGTGTGTTGTCAGGGTGCAGAGGGGCGGGGGGTGTCAGGTTGGGGTGCAGGGGCCTGGGGCATAGGATCAGGGATGCAGCCCACCCTCAAGAGCGCAGGGGTCTGGGCCTGGGGTGGGCAGGAACCAGAGTGAAGTCAGAGGGGCTGGCGTGGAGTGCAGGGAGAGGGGGGCGGTCACCCTGCTGACAGGGGTGCAGGGTAGGGAGCAGGGGTGGGGGTGGCCAGCACTCAGAGGTGGGGTGTGTGGAGCGCCCCCTGTGGCAGGGCGGTGGGGGGGGGCTGGAGTAGCAGTGTGCTGCTTACGCCTGGCCACAGGAGTGTCCAAGGCCTGGGACTTGGCGGCCACAGCGGGACAGGTGGTGCTCAGCCGGCTGTGGCCAGAGGGCAGGGGCCAGGCTCCCCCCAGACCTCCACTCCGCCCACCCCCTCCCAGACTCCCAGACGTAGCCCTCGGGGCGCACAGCCTTCTTCTCTTTCATTTTCTCTTCTGTGCAAAAAGGTTTCCGTTAAACAAACAACCGTGGAAACCTTCGGCCTGCAGGAGTGGGTGCTCCCGCGTGGCGCTATGGCTCCTGGGGCACCGGCTGGCAGGCTGGGGGGGGGCAGGGACCCCGCTGCAGGGCGCCCGGCCCCCACCCCGTCCTGCCCACGTGGCGCGCAGGGAGGAAGCTGACCGCAGCACACTTGGCACGCACGCGACCGCGTCTGTGATGATTGTCTAATATTTTCCATGTCACTCACCACCCGTCTTTTAAAAACTGTAACGTCCTGTTCATTTTTAAAAAATAAACGTTCCAACCAGGCAGAGGCTGCCTGCACTCTGTTCTCTGTACCCCATCTTCGTCTTCTGGGGGGGGTCCCCAGCCTCTGCGGTTGGCAGGAGCCCCGATGATCGCTGGAAGGGGTCGGGAGCAGTGCTCTCTGAGGCCTTCTGGGCTCTCGCTTGGGTCCGGCCTCCTGTGGTGCTGCTGGGGAGCCGGCCCTCACATCCTCATCCCTTGGGTTCCATCGATGAGCGGGTCTTTGAGGAGAGGCGCGGGGCGAACATGGGGCCCGCACGGCCGTGAAGGCCGGTCCTGGACGCTCGGGGCCACGGCCATTTCCGGTCCTTGGGTGCTGCCCTGCTGGAAGGGGGGCTTCTGCGGCTGGGGTGCCCAGATCCGGGAGGGCCTCGCCACCGCCATGTGCCCCCCGAATTCAGCTGCAGTAACATCCTGAGGGCTGCATGGGTGCCCCAGCCCTGCCCCCAGAGGCACACAGCCCCAGACAGCCTCCTGCAGGAAGGCCTCCAGACTGCGCACCTGGGCCTCCGCTCGTACCAGGCTTGGGGGGAAGGGAGGCCACTGGCAGCGTGGAGGAGGATGAGCAGAGAAGGGGCTCTTTCCCGAGTCTTGTGCTAGGAGTGGCTAGAAAACATTCCTTTTTTAACATATTTTTGTGAGGGGTATTCATGTTTTATTAAGATTATTTTTGAGAAGTGGTTTTAGGCTCACGGCAGAGTCGAGAGGAAGATAGGCGAACTCCCCGAGACCCCCTGCCCTGTCCCTAACACCTGCACAGGGTGAGGCACCTGTTCCTGCCCGACTCGTCTTTATCACCCACAGGCCATGGTGCACATTCGGGCTGGCCCAGGGCCGCCCGCGCATGCTGCGGGATTGCACACGTGTATGGTCGCATGCCCGTCCCTGGGTCCCACGGGGTCTGTGTGCTGCCCTGGACCCTCCGTGACCCCCACCCCCCGTCCTCCTCACCCTGCCAGCTCCAGCCACCCCAGGTCTGCACCATCTCCACAGTTCTGCCTTTCCCAGAACGTCCTGGGGTCAGGGTCACGTTCCTCTTGGCCACGTGCCCTCAGGATCCCTCCGCGTCACCTCAGGGCCCGTGGGCTTCCTGCTGAGGGCTGACTGTGTCCCTGGGGCGGACGGACCGGGTTTGTGGACCTGCCATCTGCTGGGGGCACCTGTGGTTGCTGCCAGGTTTTGACGAGGCGCGAAGCCCCCTCTTCTCGTTCGTAGTGTTTGTAACCGCGTCGTAATGATTAGATATTAGATGATCCGTTAGGTTCGCCAGCCTCTCAGGGGGATGGAAAGGGCTTCACGTTGTTTCTGGAACGAGCCTGGGTATGAACAGTGACCGAGTGCCTGTGAGTTGGGCCGTGAGGCAGGGTAACAGCCTCATCCATGACGGCGCAGGGATGCGGACAGACCCCCCCGCCCGCAGCCTGCGAGCTCCGGGGTCCGCGGCGCCCACCCGCTTTGGGGACTGGAGTTCCCTCTTCCCTGAGGGCTCGCCAGGCGTGGCGCTGACCAGGCTTCACGCAGGACTGACCGGCCGCAGGGCTGGACACGAGGTTGTGTGGGGTCCCGGGGCCTCCTTGTGTCCCCAAGGCCGTGGGCCGGTCCCCTGGGCAGGAGCCCCCTCCCCGAGCCACGAGCAGGCCCCCGGAAGCCGTCCGGGGCTCTCAGGAAGTAGCCGCCTGTCGGTGGCCGGTGGCCGGTGGCCGGGAGGCGGGCGTGGCCCTGCTTCCCACAGGCCGGGGCTCCGCTCGGCTGTCTGCTGTCGTCGCCCTGGCAACTCGGAGGAAGTTGGCAGGGCCTCAGGTGGGAGCTGGACGCCGGGGCTGGACGTCGGGGCCGCAGGCAGCACCTCAGGGCCACAAGAAAGGGCTCGTCTCTGGAGGGACTTTGTCCGCGCTCAGCACTGGGACGGTGACAGGGGAACCAGGGTGTCCAGGCAGGAGCTCAGGGGCCGCGCTCAGCCTGCAGGGCCGCCGTCCTCTGCGGTTTGTCCCAGGGTTCCAGGCCTGTTCCACCTGGTGGTTATTGTCCCAGGACGTGTTAGTCCTGTGTCCTTGTCTGAGTGACACGGTTGCTGACGACACGCAGATGTTTAATTCCTTAAAAACGGGGAATGAGGGTGGCGGCCTGAGGTGACAAATCGTGTGCAGGGGCCGTGGGGACACCCCCAGGGGTGGTGGGAGCGGGTGCCATGGGGACACCCCCGAGGGCACCAGGCTGGACCCAGGGCCCTACGAGAGGTAGGTGTGCCTGTTTGTGGGCCGGGCAGTGGGGGTGCTGCCGGGAGGGGCCGTTCTAAGGCCGCAGGTTTCTTGTCCAACACAGGTCGATGGGCAGCCCCAGCCCCGTGGACTGAGCGCCCCTGGGTGCTGCGCATATACAGCGCCCGCGGCGAGCTCCAGGCCTGGAGTGTGTTTCAAGTTGTGGTTTTGTTTTGTTTCCACTCCCTGGGCAATGACCATCCCACTGCCTGGTGGCTCTCGGTGCCCCCGGCAAGGATGGACCGGCTGTCGCGGCTCCTGGGCTTCAATGTCCAGCTTTGTGTCTTGTGGTTCGAGGCCAGCACGTGCCCCAGAGGAGAGGCCGGGTGGGACCGGCTCAGTGGGTGGACCCGAAGGGAGCTCACCTGGTGCACCTGCTGGTATGAGTGGAACAGCGTGGGGAGGCCCAGGCACTATCAGTGCCAGGAGAGAGGATGCAGGTATACCTTCTCCTAGTTGATGAGAAATGACAAAATTGGTTCTGAAATAAATTTTCTGAGAACGAGATGAAACCCTTGTGCCAAGTGTGCTGTGAATTAGCCCAAGGGGTGGAGCTGCCTAGGTGCTACCCGCATCCTGTGTCCCCGAAGTGCCCATCCTCGTGGCCCCAGGCGCCTTGCCCGGGTGGACATCTGGGAACCAAGACATGCAGGTTGTGTTTTCAGGGGATGAACAGGATTTAGTATCGTCCATGCAGGAAACCTTTGGAGTAATGCTCGCCGAGGTCGGGCGGTTTCTCCTGTACTCGCCTCTCAGGGACAGTCCTCGGCCCTCAGCCCTCGGCCTGGCAAGCAACCGTCCCGAGGAGCGTGACCCTCACGGGCGCTGAGTGTTTTCCAGCTCCTGGTAGGACGTAAGTCAGCCGGAGCATCTCAGGACTGTTAGGGAAGATACTGGAAATAAAGTCATTCCACGTGAGTGTGGTGCTTCCCATAGTGAAAGGTTTTGGATTTGAAAACAGTTTAGGTGGTTAATGAAACCAAACCAGTGGAGGGGGGAGGGGAGATGTGGGGGGAGTGGAGGGAGCCCTCCCCCTGCCCCCTCCCATAGCGCCCAGGCCCAGGGCCGAGCTGGGCCGTCCCCGTGCACGTGTGTTTGCTCTAGAACATGGACCTTCATCACTCGACAGCCCCCGTTGTTCGTAGTGAAGTTCAGGCACTTAAGGCTTTCAGTTTGTAATTTGTTTAATTAAGGAAAAGTCATGCTTTAGGTGGGTTTTTTGTTTTTAAATGGAAGCTTTAGGTTTTTTTTTTCTTGTCTCCTGGAATCGTGATTACTGACAGACTGGTTTATGTCAGGGCCGTGTCAGGATCCTCTGGGTGTCAGAGCCCTTCTTCTCCTGCACCCTGCCTCTTCCAGACCCCAGGTCAGACCTGCCTCAGTCTGCCAGTCCCCCAGGCCCCCCCACCCACCAGCCTCAGCGCCCTGAGCAGTCAGCCTCAGGTCGGGGCACCTGGAGCACGGTGGGTTGGGGGGGGGTTTGAAGGGGAGAGGCCCCCAGACCTACCTCATTGACTCTGCGAGGATTTGTTTTCCAAATCTCGAGATTACCTTCCGCCAACAATTGTTACTGGACCCATGGGGTCAGCTCGCGCTCTCCCTCTCTCATGCTCTTGCTATGTGTCTCTCTCTCCTGATTTTCAGTTCTTCAACCAGCTCCCACTCCCAACGCAGGGCTCAAACTCCTGACCCCGAGATCAAGAGCTGCAGGCTCTTCTGACAGAGCAAGCCAGGTGCCCCCATCTCTTAAAACAAGTTGTAGACACCTGTGATACCAACTGGGCCGGGACACAGGGGTGGCCCAGGGACGTCCTGGACTCCTCACGGGCAGGGTCTGTGACACGCTCTAACCCTTGCGATGGTGCCTGACATTCCCGTCAACCTTGACTGCGAGCTTTCATGCCACAGGTGATTTCTGTCTGAGAGGGAAGCTTGCTGCTGGCGAGAGGCTAGGTCATGTGCTTCTCTCTGTGTGCTCCGCCCTGGAGCATGTTCCCCACCAGCGTGGTCCAGGCCCAGGGCCCTTGTGCATCTGGGAGCGTTTGGCCCGGTTGTCCCTGTGGTGAGGACGTCGCCACCTCCAGGTCGGGCCTGGGGGGCAGTTAGGCCTGAGCCCACAGGTCGGCCACTCGCTTCCTTGCTTCCTCATGGCTACTTGGAGACATGCTCAGAGAAAGGACCACCCCTGGTGTCTGTGGCACAGGGCTCTTGGGGCACTGGCATGTCCACCCCCAGAGCCTAGGCAGAGCTGAGATGCGGGAGGTGGCACCCTGCTCCTTTCTCGGGGGCCCCGGAAAGTGCCCACCTGGATCAACGAGGGGCCAGCAGGGGGGTGATGGGTGTGTGGGGTGCGGACATGGAACCGGGGGGAGGGGCCAGCAACAACCGGGGTCATGGATGCATAGGCGGAGCTGGAGATGGCCAGAGGGTGTGTGCAGCCTGTGCAGGTGCTTGGGCAGCGCGTGTCCTGGGTGCCACAGCACAGGGGGAGGCGGAGTCCACCGCCGGCGGTGAACCAGAAGCTGGGGTGGAGGGGGGCCCTCCACTCTTCGCACTGTGTGATTGTGTGACACAGTACATTTATGGGTTGAAGTCTAAGTGTGAAGATCGTGCCCACCTGAGCGTGCAAAACGAACTCTATCAGTCATTTGACGGTGATGGTCGTTGTGCGCAGATGGGTACAGTGCACACTCACCGACTTGCTCCCTGCGCTGGTTGAACAGGTCTACCTCCGCAGGTGTGTCATGGCCCCGTCCCGACATGTGTGCTTGTACACGTGTGTCTCATGCATGTGGGGGCACATGGAGACATGTGTCATGTACATGTGCAGAAGTATGAATAATACAGGCAAAGTACCGTGCGTGTGGCTAAAGTGAGCCATCTGTTGAGGCAACTCTCAGACGGGTCACGGGGGATGGTGATGAGCACTCACCCCCCTGTAGCTCCTGACGGATCCTGTGTGCCCCTCAGCCCTCTCCACCCTGCGGATCGCTTGGGGCAATCGCCTCCCCCCGCAGGCCTGGCCCCCACTGCCCCCTGGGTCCCCGTAGACCACTTCTGCTGGGGCACCTGTGCAGCAGCCTGGCAGGTCCAGGTGTGGGAGATGTGCCGTGGGAGGGGGGGCCCTGGGACCCGCAGCCCCCGCACTGCCTCTTCTGAGGATCCCTGACCTCCTCTGGGAACTTCCTTTTCTGGGTTTTTCACTCCTTGTTTGATTTTTACAAAGATTATAGCTTTAAACTTTTGGTTGCAGTTGTGTATTGAGGGTGTTGGTGAGCATTTAAGGGTGCGAAGGGGTCGTCGTAAGCTCCGGTGAGCATGGGAGGGGGTCCCAGGGGCAGGTCCCCCTGGGCCCAGCACCACCTCCTGTCCCAGGGAAACGGAAACAGGGGTGGGGGGGGTGGGGGAGGGTGCTGGGCCTTCCCAGCTCCTCACTGCACTCCATGGGAGCAGGTGGGCCGTGCTGACGGGACACAGGCCATGGGCCCCTGGGTGCATGAGCTGCAGGCTCATGCAGGCACAGCCATCCTGACGCAGCCCTTCCTGGGCAGGGCTCCTCAGGCCGTCTGGTACTGGAGCCAAGCATCTGGAAGGCTGATGCCCTCGGGGAGGGGGGTGGCTGTGCGCTCTTTGCAGCACCTGGGGGGCCTGGAGGAGCAGAGGCCCTCCAGGGAGCACTCAGGTCTGGGGGCCCCCAAGCAGTAAAAGCAGGGACTTGGTGATTCCAAGGACAGAGAGAGCCTGCACAACCAGGGAGTGGTCGAATGGCTCTTGGAAATAACGGCGGGCAGAGACCCCCTGTGTTTGGGGTGCTCAGCCCCTTTCTGTCCCCAAACATAGTGGAGTGTGAACCCATACTTGGGGACGCTCGTTGCCCGGCAGTGCTGGCGCGGGCAGGTTCCTGCCCAGAAGGGCAGCAGTGTCATGGGACTGGGGCCTCCCGCAGCGCACTAAGCCAGGCCCGGTGTATGGTTTCCAGGCATGCACTTCCATTATTTAGAGACCTCGGAAGACTCCTCCCAGTGCACGGCACTGACGTACCAAGGTGTTATTAGGTGTCTTTTCAAATAGGAAATCTAGAAATGTGGCTTTTCTGGTAAAAATTCTAATTATGGCAGTAATGATTTTTTTTAAAACATGCCTTATAGAGGTTATAATTAGCATGTAACGATTCTTAAATCTTGCTGTGCATTGATGTTCTAGGCTTTTTTTTTTTTTTTTGAAACTGGGATCACTAGGCCATGAACTAGCATCAGAATTTACATGAGAGTGACCCCAAAACCTGTGCTTCTGTCTGGTCCTTGAGGTGTTTTCTTTGTAGCAAGTGGTTAAGGCACCTTGTCAGTGATTAGGTTATTAAATCTCTTTAAAAGTCCAGGTTCCTGTAGCTGGAACTCACCCATCCCTCTACCCGTCCACCCCTCCACCCACCCACTCACCCGTCTATCCACCCACGGGCCCATCGATCCGTCTGTCCACCTGTTTGTCAGGCACAGGCTTAGGCTCTGAAGACAGCCATGAAGGCAAGTACACTAAGGCAGGCAAAGTTAGTTTCTCCTGGTCAGAGATGGTGGATGTCAGTGATGCTACATGTTGAAGAAGAGATAACCCAGGGAGGATGACTCCGGGTGCGGCTGGGGACTGAGATCTGGGCAGGCAGTCTTTGAGTAGAGGGAGGGCGGTGGGAGCCCGTGGCGGCGGCGTGGGGGCGATGGGAGCCCGAGCACCAGCAGCAGGGGAGGGAGGGTGGGCCAGGACAAGCTGGGACCCGCTGGCCTGTCGGTGCTGCTGGGCTCACGGAGCAGTGCATGTCCTTTTTGGTGACTGGCCCCTCATGCCATCTTCCCTTCTGCCCGTTTGCAGAGCACTACAGTTATGCACCGTCGAGCATCAGCTCTGTTCTGCCTCCTGGCCCGGCTCACCCATCACTGCCAGCTCCGTGCCACGACCTGCAGACCTCAGGCCCGGGCATGCCAGGTCCCGCAGCCAGCCAGCCCCCGGGCTTCGGTGGGGCTGTGGACACCGGGCCCTCCAGCTACTTCCTGTCCTCCGGCCACATCCGGCCCAATGGGGCCCCTGCCCTGGAGAGTCCTCGCATCGAGATCACCTCGTACCTGGGCATGCACCACAGTAACAGCCAGTTCTTCCACGACGTGGAGGTGGAAGACGTCCTTCCCAGCTCCAAGCGGCCCCCCTCCACAGCCACCCTGAACCTGCCCAACCTGGAGGCCTACCGGGACCCCTCGTGCCTCAGCCCGGCCAGCAGCCTGTCCTCACGCAGCTGCAACTCAGAGGCTTCATCCTATGAGTCTAACTTCTCCTACCCCTACGCGTCCCCGCAGACGTCCCCATGGCAGTCGCCCTGTGTGTCCCCCAAGACCACGGACCCTGAGGAGGCTTTCCCCCGGGGCCTGGGGGCCTGCGGCCTGCTCAGCTCCCCCAGACACTCGCCCTCCACCTCGCCCCGCACCAGCGTCACGGAGGAGAGCTGGTTGGGGGCCCGCACGTCCCGGCCCTCGTCCCCCTGCAACAAGAGGAAGTACGGCCTCAACGGCCGGCAGCTGTCCTGCTCCCCACACCACTCACCCACGCCGTCCCCGCACAGCTCACCACGGGTCAGCATCACTGATGACACCTGGCTGGGCAACAGCACGCAGTACACCAGCTCGGCCATCGTGGCTGCCATCAACGCCCTCACCACCGACAACAGCCTGGAGCTGGACGGCGTCCCTGTGAAGGCACGCAAGACCGCCCCAGACCACTGCCCCTCCGTGGCCCTCAAAGTGGAGCCGGCTGGTGAGGACCTGGGGACCACGCCGCCCACGGCCGAGTTCCTGCCCGAAGAGTTCACATCTTTCCAACATATCCGCAAGGGTGCCTTCTGTGACCAGTACCTGTCGGTGCCGCAGCACCCATACCAGTGGGCCAGGCCCAGGTCCCCAACATCATTTGCCAGGTGAGCAGGGACGGAGCTTGCAGGGGGCTGCAGGGGGTGGAGGTCCCCACCAGGCTGCCGGGGGGCCGCGTCGTTCTGGGGCCCCTGCCACCTGGGCGTGCTCAGGGCATCGCATCCCCTGGCTTTCGGGGCATCCTTCCCTCTGCCATCGTGTTGCGGCGTCCCCTCCTCGTGTGTGTGTGTCCAAACCTGCTGTCTCTGAGGACACCCTGAAGACCTGGTGTTCACCAGTAATGCCCTTGCAGGTCCTGTGTCCTAACTAGGCCATGTTCTCAGTGCTGGGGGAGGACTCCAGTGCATGGATGAGGGGGGAACCCGTTGGCCCCTAATGAGGGCTCACATGCACATGCACGCAGGCTTCTGTTTGTTTTGTTTGTTTTTTAACAAAACCAAATGCCCCTCCTCCCGTGTTTGCCTCCACCGCTCAACTGCTTCTTTTGTCCCGCCTAATTGCTGCCACCAGCACACATGCAGATGGGGCCTCTGCTCAGCAATTCCCCGGAGCGCAAACCCGGTCCCCGTGGGCAGCCCTGCCCGCGATCGCAGCACAACACGGCCACCCGGTCCCTAGGGATGGCACACGCTCCCCGCTGGCTGACGATGGAGGGCTCATGCGGGCCCCGAGCGCCAGGCTTGGGTTGTTGTTTCTTTCCGGCGGAGTGTGGCTGCTGCCCCTCCACCGGGTGCACTTAGCCAGCCCACTGTTTTTATTTTTAACTAAACAGCTTTCCCAACAGGTGGGCCTCTAATGACCCCTGGCACAGGCTTTCTGCTCCAGGATTTTTATCAGGCATGAAAATGTGCCTCCCGTGGCAGGGTGCAGCCATGGCGTGTCGGCTGTGCCCCCCTCCCCCGGGACGCACACGCAGCTGCACACATGCTTCTGCGTGCTCTCGAGTGTCGTGGACTCGGCATTTGATTTCCCGGCCCTTTTTGTTGGTGGTGCCAATGGAAGCAGCTCCAGGAAATCAGCCCCACCGGTTCCCGCTCAGGCACTCCCTACACCGTGTGCTGGGCTCCGCTCTGAGCTACGGCATGCGATGCGGGGGCAGCAGCGGTGGGGGGGGGGGTGGTAGTTGAGTTGTAGTTTTGGGCAAAGCCAACTAAACCTTGTGAGAGTTTGTGGAAAAAAAAAACACGTGAGTCTGGCCAGTGGGCCGGCGAAGTCCCCTTTCTGGCATAACAACATGTGTACTCAGAGCCACTTAAGAAAAAACAATCAGCACTGATTTTTTTTTTCTTTATTTTTTTTAATTTATGGTAGTCACACAGAGAGAGAGAGAGAGAGAGAGAGAGAGAGAGAGGCAGAGACATAGGCGGAGGGAGAAGCAGGCTCCACGCACCGGGAGCCCGATGTGGGATTCGATCCCGGGTCTCCAGGATCACGCCCTGGGCCAAAGGCAGGCACCAAACCACTGCGCCACCCAGGGATCCCAGCACTGATTTTTCTTGACCTGTGTTAAGATGTGTCCACATCCCTGTCCCAACATCGACTTTCCATACTCAGCTCCGGAAGCTACTGTGCTCAGAGTTATCATCAAAACAAGTGTGTCTCACCATCTGGCTCTAATTCATAAACAGGGGAACTTAAAAACCCATTTGGAGGCATTTAAAAAATTTAAAGATTTGTTTATGCCCTTATACTGTCTTTATAATTTTTTTAAAGATTTCATTTATTTATTAGAGCGAGAGAACGAGCAGGCAAACAGAAGGAGGGGCAGAGGGAGAGGGAGAAGCAGACTCCCCGCTGGGCAGGGAGCTTGTCCCGAGACTTGATCCCAGGACCCTGAAGTCATGACCTTAGCAGAAGGCTCCACTGACGGAGCCACCCAGGCACCCCCCTCTTAATAATTTTCAAGTAAAAGTAAGAATATTCCTAAAGTAACTAACTACCTGACGCACACAGGCTGACGCAGTGCCGGTTATGACTGCCTGCGTTTTCATGGCCCATGAGGGCTGTGGTCACCCATACCAGGACCCCCTGGACTCCGGGGTCAAGACACAGGTTGTAAGGTGACCGTGGCCTGGGGAAAGTGTGACCGTGCCAGTCGTCCTGGGTGTTGGTCCGCACTCGGGCTGCGTCATGATGCCACAGGCCGGGCCGTTTTGGACACCAGTTTCCCGCGGGCAGAGGTCCTGGCGCTGGTGGGTTGGCTCCTTCCAAGGCCTGTCCCCGGGGATTAGGGATGGCTGCTGTGTTTCTTCTCTGCTGCATCCGTGTCCAGAAGTCCCCTGCTGACAAGGACACTGCCACTGCGCCAGGGCCCACCTGGTGACCTCGCTCTAACTCGACCCGGCATCCACATACAGTCACATTCGGAGGTCCCAGGTTTGAGACTCCAACCCTTGAATTTTGGCGACTCAGTTCAGCCCAAACCCCCAGCTTTGCATCTGCCAAGACAGCAGGACGCTTTCACAGCAGCCCCGGTACGACCTCCTCTGAGGGGCTCGCAGGGCGCCTGTGGGAACTCGGGTTCCCCTGGCGGTCCCAGGCCCTGGGTGCGGACCACAGGCGCCTGACTCCTCCGCTCAGGGCTTTGGCAGCCGTTGCCTGGTCCTGGGGTCTCCCCGCGAGCTCCTGGGGGTCTGACATTCCTGTGCGCTCAGTGAACAAACAAAGCCCGAGGGCCCCCCGCTGCCTCGGGGGTTGGACGCTGACCTTTCCCCCTGTTTCGGTTCCACACAAAATGTGTTTCCTGGTCCCTCGTGCCAGCGCCGCACGGTCCTGTGTGCTGGTGCCCAGGGCAGCAGGGGCCCTGTGGGAGGGGCGGCCCCACCAGGCTTCCTGCCCCATCCCGCCAGCGCCTGGGGCATCAGCAGGGTCTCCGGGTGCAGCCCCAGGGCCGGGTTTTTAACACCCTCTAAATCTGGGTGGAGACTTTGTCACAAACCTGCTGTTCCTGTCGCTGGATGCACTTTGACATCCATCCTGCTGGGAAAAGGAGATTTTTAATGACAGTGTGCAGCGCTAGCCTTTCCCAGAACTTGGGGTGCTGTGGGGTCTTTTCCCTTTGGGGTCTTTTTGTCCACATGGCCTCACAGTGACTCCTCTGTGCAGGGCGTCCTATGGCCTGCAGCAATCAGAGAGGAAAGGTCACCCTTGCTGCAGCTAAAGACATAATGACAGCATTTGATAGGACTTCATAGTTCTATAGTTTAAATTTGTTTTAGAATTTAACAGGATGATACCTCTGTTCCTAAAGTGTGGCAAATGCACAGAAATCGCAGTGACGTACTGGAGTCACTACCCCGCCAAACCAGAGTCATAAGCTCTCTAGTTTAAGCGTTTTCAGAAAGGAGTTTTCTATGGTGATGATGATACCAGTGGTAACAACCAGCTTCCCAGGTCAGTCTTCACCCCACTGCTGAGGCAGCTGGTGTGTGTGTGGGGGAGGCTGTGAGGCTGGGGGTGGGGGGTGGACCTGTGTGCAGGGGGGAGGCTGTGAGGCTGGGGGTGGGCACATGTGCAGGGGGAGGCTTTGAGGCTGGGGGTGGGCACATGTGCACTGCTTGCCACAGGAGGACATGGTGAGAAAGCCTGAGCTCTGAATCCCTGCACAGGGACAGACGTCTCCTGCCCATGTGGCTCCTTCTGGCTCAGAGCTCATGGCTGAGCCTTGGGGGCCCTGAGTGTGTCCTGACCTGATGGCTGTGGCTCAGTGAGTGGGCGTGGGAGGCGAGGAGGCCAGGAGGCTTCTTCTCAGCCTCCCTGGTGCTTTTCCCAGGATGTGTGTGCAGGATGTGGCCCCAGGTCTCCCTTTGACATGAGGTTGTGAGCGTCCATTATTAACTGAGGAAGGAGCAAGGGACACATCCTTGAGTGTTCCTGGGGACGGGAATAGCTTGAGTCCTGACATTAAGTCAAATCACTGAGATGGGAAACACGGCTCCTTTCACAGACTGATCCAAGTGTGGGAATTACCATGGAGTCGGACCTGCACTGCCTCGGCCTGCTCACACCCACCCTGTGTGCACAGGCGCCTGGCTGTGTCAGGAGCCCTGGCTGGGGGGACACGCAGATGTGGGGGGTTGGGACCAGACCCACCAGGGTGGGTGTCTACTCAGAGGCTTTCCTCTGAGGATAGCACATGGAAGGGGTGGCACACAGGATTGGGCTGCTTAGCCTCAGGATGGGCAGTGCCCGGTGGGCCATCTCCCGTGGGCTGTGGGGCGGGTATGTTTCCGGGTGAGGCCACGGCCCCAAGAAAACAAGGCAGGTAGAGACGTCCACATCTACACTGAAAGAGTAAGAAGCTCTGAGGCCCATAGGGCCGTGGCCGAGAGCAGCCTAATCCCTGGAGGATTCTGGGCTCTGGGACCCGGTGGGCCAGGGCCCGCGTGCTGGCCTGCCCTTCGTCCCAGGGCCCCGAGCTCCTCCTCTTCCAGGTGGGGGTGTGCATTCTCGTCAAGAGGGCAGTGGGTGTGGGGCCGGCCATGGTGGGGGCCACAGAGGACGTAGGGTGCAGTCGCTGCCTCTCATGTCACTGGTGGAAAAGGGGCAAGGGCCACAGCAGGAGCAAGGAGGCCCTGGGACCCCTTGGGGCTGGGGAGGCAGCCATGGGCACAGGGTTTCCTGTGGCCGCAGCACAGGGGCTCTGCCCCAACTGCAGCTGTCAGGGTCCCTGCAGCCTGGGGAGCAGGACCCTCACTTGGATGCATCCCCATAGATGATTTTGAGTCACATCCTGAACCACTGAGTTTGCTTTAAACTTCGCGTTAGAAAAAGAACGGTTCCGACAAGTGAATATGCCGGCTTTCGTGCAGTCCCTGTGGGAACCACGTGGATCGGGTGACCTTGGCAGTATCTGGGCCGTCCCAGCGCCTACGTGGAGGCTCGGCTTCATACCTCCTTTCTGCTCCGTACGGCTGCGTGGACTTGGAGTCTGGGCTCCTGCATGTCCATGACCTGTCTGTGGCAGTGCTGTCTGCATGCAGGCCTGGGTGCTCCACAAGCTCACTGTGGGGGATGGGAGGCAGCGCTCAGGGCTCCGGAGGGCAGT